AAAATTAAAAAAATATAAAAAGTTTTAGAAAATCTACAGTCATAAGGAGCTCTGGTGGCTTGGTAGTAAGAAGCCATGCCAATGCCATGCATTTGGATCCATTAAATGCTCCACTAGAGACAGATGGGCATGAGATTAAAATTCCTCTGAAAATCCACTGGAGGGTCAGCTAAGAGTTGGTTCTGACAGTACTTAACTGCAAGAACATAGTTATAATATAGATTACATGTTACTCAACAAACAAACCAGAGAAAAAGCTTTGACAAAATTCATTAATGTATTATTACTAAAATACGATTTAATCTTGTAATTAGATCTTCTACCAAGTTTATTTAAATTTGCATCCCTGACGAAAATTTGCATTTCCAAAGCAGAAGTACAGAATATTAGAATCTATGCATGATATAAACAGATTTTAAAGTTGAAGATCTTATTAAAATACAGATTCTGGTTCAGTATATCTGAGGTAGAAACAAAAATTCTCAGCAGGGATTAAAACCCAGCTGAAAGCCCTGGTTATAATGTTTCGGAAAACCAGCCAAAACTCAAACTGAAGGCTCTTGTATCAGAACTAATTCAAAGAAGGCCCTCCAGCAGGATTTCAGGAGGCTGTAAATCTCCCTAGAGGAGATTACCCATCTTTCTCCTACAAAGCCACTGATGGATTCTAACCACTGCAGCACCTCTGGGCTAGCACCACAACTCCTTATTGACCATACCACCAGCGCTCACTTTAAGAGTCAGTTGTTGTTGTTGTTGTTATGTGCCATCAAGGTGCTTGCGACTCACAGCGACACAATGTACAAGAGCCCTAAACGCCATTCTATCCTATGCCAACCTTGCCATCTCAAACACACTTATTCCCACCACCCCAATCACAGAATCGATTCATCTCATCAAGGGTCTTCCTCTCCTGCACCGTCCCTCCACTCTCCCAAACATGATGTCCCTCTCCAAGAACCAGTCAGTTCCTCCTTACAATATGCCCAAAGTATGTCAGACGAAGCCTCAGAATCCTGGACTCCAAGGAGCATTCTGGCTTCACCCTCTCCAGGACAAACCTGTTTGTTCTCCTAGAAGTCCACGGTATATTCAACACTATTATACAATTAATAAAAGGCATAAATTAAATGGGTTTAAATAATATTTATTAAAATAAATTCATATTTTTTCCAGAAGACTCTTACCTTTCCTGAATCAAGAACCTTCTGAAAGTCTTCCATTGTATTTGACACAACCATATGAGTCTTAAGGTCTTCAGAAGCCCTGACAAAAAAAAATTGGAAAGAATACATCAACTTTCTTGTAAGTAACACTCTGCTAGAATACTATTGGGTTATAGGGGATATTTAAAAACTATAAAATTGAAAAGTTCTCTGAAACAAATGATAATAAAAACACAATATGCCAAAACTTCTGTTATACAACTAAGGCAGTCCTTAGGAAAAGGAAAACGGAAACACATTAAAAAGGAAGAAAGAAGGAAGCTCAGATGGCTTTGTGGCAAGAAGCTGAACTGCAATCCCAGAGGTATATATACAGTTCGAATCCACCAGATGCTCTACTGGAGAAGGAGGGGCAATCTCCTCC